CATGTTGATGATCTTTCTTATCTTATTCGAGAATGTGCGTTAACACATAATATAAATTTAGATGTTGAAAATCTTTCAGAAACGTTAAAAACAGAAATATTATCTTGTCGTTCTACGTTCTCTTCTGCTTCTCATTTACTTACTGTTGTTTTAAACCTTGAAAAAAAGGATTGCATGCGAGCAAGTGATGATCAAAATGCTGTTGATGATCATCAATCTTTTTCTACAGCTGAGATCGATACTATTATTGGTCGTACTTATACCACACGTGGTATAAAACGTTCATATGAAGAAGACTCGATTGCAATTGAGCCTAATCGAAATAAATATAGAGAGATAAAACTTTCTAAAGATAAACGAGATTTATTACATTTGAAAGATACCTATCATATAACAGATAGTGCTTTCAATGCTATTTTTCAGTTTATTAAAAGTAAAAAGAAATTGTGTTCTTTAGCCGAAATTGAACGACTTAGGAAAGAAACCAATTCTAAGTTTCCTATTTTGTTCACGAAAACCAGTGCATATGTTAGATTTGAATATGCTATACGTACTGCAATTTTTGTTGCGCGTAAACATGAGCCAAAGCTTGAACAGTTTGATACACTTAATGTCCGTTTCAACATGGATGGTACTTTGATAGGAAATAAACATATAGTTGCGATATCAATTAATTGTATTGAAGGCGGTTATCCATGTCAAAGTTCAAAAAATCTTGTTCCGTTAGGTCTCTTCGAGGTTCAAAAAGAAAATACTGAGTTGTTACGTTAAAGTCTTCCGGCAGAATTTATTGCTGATATTAAATCAGTCAAACAGATTTCTTTAGGTACAAAAATTGTTGATATACGTATACGACTTGGTGGTGATTTGATGAATGCTGTGTATGTGTTCGGACTTGCTGGATTTAGTTCCAATTATCCGTGTATCTTTTGTACACAGCATAAAGATGATCTTCATGTTACCGAAGATACAGCCTATGATAAAACCGTTACAGAAGGAAAAGGAAGGAATAAGAGAATAGCTATTGTTCATGTTGGTCCAACATCGTATCGTGATGTAACTAAACGAGCACGATCTCTTGCTGAACAAGCTTCATGTTTAGCAACTAAAGCTAATGATTTAGGATATAAATGTGAACCATTGTTTGGAGATCTTTTCGATTATCAGGATTACTGCGTTGATACATTACATTTGAAATTGCGTGTTTTTGATGTTATTTTGAAAGATATATTGTCTCATGCTTCTCGCACTGGTAAATATGGAGCTGATCATCTGAATATAATTGAGCAAAAAATCGAAATTCTTAATAAACATTGCGAAAAAACTATAGGAAAACGATTTTTTTTCCAAGTTGATTCAGATAATAATAATAAAACAATTGCCTCTCATGGCAAACTTTCTGGTCTTCTGCAAGATCATTTTTTCATAGATAGTTTTCCATATGATGATATACTTGATGATGGTATCGCTAAATCAGCTCGTATTGTTGTAAATAAATTTAAAGAAATTCTTCATGAGATTAAGCATACTTCGATAAAAAGAAAAGGCGTTCTCAAACGTTTATCACTTGAATTTGTTAAGGAATTTCGTCAAAGTGGTCTTCGTACGACTGTAACTCCATATATTCATATAATTGGTAATCATTTATATGAATTTGATGAGTTCAATAATCTAGGAGATTATAATATGCAGGGTGTTGAAAAAAACAATAATTTGTTGTCTCGTCTATATTTTTCATCTACAAACCCTGCAAAAAATCCACTTCTTACTATGCTTCAGACATCATATCGTATGCTTGAAATGAATTTTCAAGATGAAAAAGAAAGAAATCTCATGCGTGAATTTGCTCGTACGGGTGTATATGACTTTGTCGAAGAAGATACGACTGAATTTGAATCTGAATCTGATTCTGCAGATTATTCTCCCGCTCGTCACAATAAAGTAGATTATTTGGAAAATGAAGATGCATCTGACCAAGAGTTTAGTTCAGATACGAGAGAAACTGAAGAAGAATATGATGAAGAAACAGAACTTGATAAATCCAT